GCTACCAGGACGTCTCCACAGATAGGGGAGTAAGCTGAGGGGGGGGGCAACATGCAGGTAAAAGGCTGGAATATTATAATGAGCTAGATAATATATAATAATATTAATATTATAATAATAATAATATTATAATGAGCTAGAGCTAATGAGGTCAGAAACTACCCACTCCTGAAACCTCCTGATTTATCTCCTGGATTCAGACTGAGGCGGCCCACAAAAACATGACCCACTCATTTTTTTTCACACTTTTCCTGCTGATAGGCCCTCCACAGTCCCAAATGTACACAATCACATGATCAAAAACTTGGTTTGGCATAATATGTCCCCTTTAGTTTCCCGATTCATATATGCTTTTCAATGCAGATTATGCTCCATTCAGGCTCTCAATCATTAATCTTTAAGTATTACTTGTCCATTTTAGTAACCAAAAGATGTTTTCTTAACACCAGTGAGAAGAGCCTTCGTCTTCATACTAGAAACTACCTTTTCCATGCATCAAATTATTAAAAACTTGGTTTGGCATAATATGTCCCCTTTAAATAAATAATAAAGCAGTATTGGATGATCAAGGGAGGCTTCTCATCTTGACAAGCCTCTCTTGGCAAAGCAAAAATGTCGGGCAGAGCTCAGCCCTCAGATTACAATCCTGTTGCCATAATGCCAGTCTATTAATACGGACATTCGAAGTCCATCACCCACCTGCAGTGGTGGGAAGTAACCAAGTACAAGTACTTCGTTACTGTACTTAAGTACAATTTCCGTGTATCTGCACTTTACTTAAGTAGATTTAATTATGGATACTTTCTACTTTTACTCCACTACATTTAACAGTAAGTATCTGTCCTTTCTACTTCACTACATTTCTATACAGCGTTTCGTTACTCGTTACATCCAAGACGCATTTCGGTTTTTTGATTTGTTCGTTAGTTTGAAAGTATCCAATGGCGAGAGCAGAATCAGTCCGCTGAACCAATCCAAAGCGGGAAATAACCATTAGGCCCGCCCTCAAGAAGAGCATAAAATATCTAAATCTAAACTGTCACAGGGGGTAAACACAATAAAAACATGCTTTATCTGCAGCATTGCTCATTAAAATGGTACATTACTGATTTATTCAAACTAAATACCATAGGTACACTTAATGACATTATATAAGCCGTTAGGTATTATGGTTGGCAAGTACTTTTACTTTTAATACTTAAGTAGTTTTAAAAGCTTGTACTTTCTTACTTTTACTTAAGTAAAATAATAATGTGGTACTTTGACTTTTACTCGAGTAAATTTTTGTCTGTGTATTTGTACTTTTACTTAAGTACTAGGGATGGGAGGGTTTATAAACCCGTCTGAACCGTTGGGTTCTGTCTCGGTTGGGTTGGCGTGTGTTTGTTGGGTTCCTGCTGCTCCTTTTTCTCAGAGGGAAGCGTTTACACTCCAGACCAGAAGGGGGCGCTACTGCGCCCAAAGCCAACCACCAGTAGGAAACAAGAAGAAGAAGAAGCAGCGTAGCCCATAAAAATCAGACCCAGCAGCAGTTTCTAGGTCTGCTGTATGGACCAGTTTGCATTTAGAGGGAAGCACATGTTGGAATTAGCACTGTTTCCTCTCTGGCAGAATCTCACCTACTTTTAACCTCAGACTGTCACAGTAATGGATCAAATGTCAGACTACTTTTTTCTTTCAGTTTTAACCTGACTATACACAGTGTTGGGGAGTAACGGATTACATGTAACGACGTTACGTAATTTAATTACAAAAAAAGAGTAACTGTAATTCATTACAGTTACAATGAGAAAATATGTAATTCAGTTACAGTTAC